GCTGACTGGGATGTTAGTGGCCGTAGGATGAGGTTTATGCGTGTGCTACTACATGGTTTACCAGGTATATACTGTGACGTTCCCAGCGAGTTTGGTTCGTCGACGTCGTAGGAAATTAAATACTTTCGTCCCAAGTTGTCCAGGATGAACAATACCGCGTATGGAGAGTTCGAATTTTGTCAACTTGACGACAGCCCTTAGCATACTTACAAATCGATCAGTGCCTTACTATGTTCACGTACCCGGACGTGTCGAAGGCCGTTAACGCTGCTCTATCATGCTACATATCCTCGTCGGTGTAAGCTTACTTCACTTGCCAGATGAAACAGAAACCAGGGACCAGTAAATTATCGTGCAATGCTGTGCTACTGTGTGGCGTATGTAAATGTTACACGATCATGCAGTACAGTCAATGCTATGCGAGAATAATAACAAGAATATGCAGGAGAGACGAAAATGACCAGCGATGAAGAAAACATGAAAGCAATGGAAGCCGCAGGAGAACTGTCTATGATAACAACGCGAGTAATTTATCACTGTCCATCGACTTGCTCGCAAGTCGTGACCGTCGGTCCTCGTCTTGGTCAAGACGGGCACCCTTCATCATCATAGCCATGAGGTTGAATGCCTTCGGCGCATCTATAGCAACATCGTCGAGGATTTCGGCCACAGGCGCGAAACCATCTTCGAAGGACTGCGGTGAGCACAGGTTCTTTGACATTGCGCGCGAGAAGAAATCCGCAACGAGCTGAGCATCCGACTCTTTGGATTCGATGGCTGAAGAAACCAACTTGTCCACGAGCCGCCATCGGTGTTCGGAAGGAAGCTTGCTGAAGTACACTTCAGCCTCGGTCAAGTCACGGATGCTGAAGAATTCCTTCGAATCTTCCTTGACCCTCGTCAGGGCCTCATCTTCTGTCATCGACGGCGCAGCAGGATCACCACCCTCATCATCCGATTGTCCAGCTTCCGAAGCAGGTGTCGAATCCGCCTTGATCTCATCCGCCTTCGGTACCGATCGAGGAAGGAGTTGCAGCTTCCTTCGCTGCTGGGGAGCCTCCGGCATACCGCTGGCACCGAAGTCCACGCTCGCCTTCCGGCTTGGTGGTCGGCTAGATTTCGACGACGCGACCTCCGTAGCAAGCTCGGGGTTCTCCATGAGCTTTGAGAACATATTCGACGAGCCGCCGCGCGATATGGTGCTTTCGCGACTCTTGGTCTTCTCCTTGCCCTGGAAAACGCTCGCGGGACCTAATGTCATGGATGTTGGTTTACTGATCTTTCCGAAGTTGGACAAGTCTCCAGCCTTGGGAGGTGGCCTTGGTACAGAACCACCTGCGACAGCCCACCCATCTGGTCCAATCTGAGTGTGATCGCCTCGATCTCCACCACGTCTTGAACCACCACGAGACATGCTGAGATTCCGTTGGTATGCGTCCTTCTCATGCGCGGCTTTCTCCTTCGCAGCCTGTTGATGCGTCAGTACACGTCCTCCAGTAACAGCTTGGAAAATTACGCACAGCTTCATGCACAGCGGCGATCGTAGTGGGTGCAGCCACTTGATTACGAGGTATCCATTTACGCTCGCGCAACTCAATGACATCCTATATTGGAATGGACAGTCAGCGAGAAGGATGGCATAAATTAAGAAACCTGCCTGCAACATAAACTGCATACGTGAGTTGACGTTCAAGCTCTTGGTAAGCTCCTTCATGCGCGAGAAATACACATCCATGTGCGCGCGGGCCTTCTGCGTGTCGAGTATCTGGCCAACAGTGGTCAAGAGCTTGCACAAGCTTTCGATTTCCTCCTCCTCGGGATTCTCCACATTGCCGAGTAATTTCTTGACACACTCGTGCATGATCCGCTCCGTGAGCATCTGCAATTTGAAGAGTTCACCAATGAACTTGATGAGACCAAGACCTTGTCGCTTTGCCTTCTGCGCAGCGTAATACTCCTCCGAGTACAAGATGTTCTCATCAGCGTCTTTCTCAGCAGCAGCCTTTGCGGCTTGGTCCTCGGAAGCTCTCGTCGCAGCTGCGGCGGCTGTCGCCTCCTTCGCAACCCACCCTCGCTCGAAGTCTTCTTGACACCGATTGAGCAGGTACTTCCGGAAGAGCTGGCCACCCGCAATAGGTTTGCCTTCTGTGTTCTTGATGCCGTCATCCTGGACCTTCGGGCTGATTTGCTCCATCATCTTTCGACATAGACGCGCATACATCTCAGACCATGTAGCCTCATCGGTCGCCTTCTCGAACACCAGTCGAATAACCTGTATAAGGGTACGCCCGTCTTTCTCCTTCTCCGACCGGTTCGCCCATGCGATAATTTGATCTGAGATAGAGTCGAAACGCTCCATGGTGAGCTTGTTGAGCAAACCCTTGACCTTTCGGTCGACAATCTCTGGAGAATCGGTGTCAGCCTGCTGGGGCCTCTTTCCAAGACTTGTTGGTTGCCATCGATTAGCAGATATCTCCAAGGGCGCAACGGGCTCAAAGGGTGCCATTCCGGCCTGCGATGCTGCTGATGTGTCGAATGATGATCCCGATGGGCCTGCGTACGCCTTGTTTGCGTCTGCACGATCCACACCGCGCTTGCTGCGAGTACGCTTGTTGGCCATCGGACCACCTTGGCTTGAGGTGCGAGTAAGAGGTTGAGCACGATTGAAGGGTATGCCCGCAGTACCACCTGACATCGACGTCGAACGGGACGAGCTGGAGATGGCAAACCGTTCTTCGCTTGACATCTTCGTTGTGGGGGTGGCGAACTGGCCCATTTGGAAGGGGTTAGAACCAGGCTTGTTGAATCCAGATATTCCAAGCCCAACACCCGAACGACTTGTTGAGGCCGGAGGTGGCATAGCTGCCGAGGCGCGGCGACCAGAGCCCCCACGACTCATCGGGAAAGGTTGATCAACGGGCTCGAGGCCAATGGCATCCAAGGGAGGTAACGATTCAGGCTTCTCCTTGCAAATAGCCATGAATTGCATCAGGAAATCTCGGTCATATCTGAATGAGAAGTCAGTCCATGGACCTGAAACATACAAAAATAAATATACCTGAACTTGCCATGTCGAGCATTTACATTCAACTCGACCTTCGGGCTTCTAATGCCCTCGGGATACGAGACGCTATTGATATCCTCGATGACACGAGCAGTCGCAAGGGCTGAAGGTAAGGGCTGAGGCACAGGTTGGCTCTTGGCGGAGGAAAGGTCAAGTGGGCCTGGGTGTCGTCGACGCTGCAGATCCGGGACAGACACGGCAGTATCAATCCGTAAGGAATTCTTCTCAACCGACTTCTCCTTCGAGTCATCTGTAACTTCAGGAGTCTCTGGAAGTGCAGGTTGGATTTCGTCGGGCTCCTCGACCTCACCCTCCTCTGCCTCAGCCTGCTGCGGCTCAGACTCTTCAAGCTCTTCCAGCGCCGCCTTCGCTTTCTCAGCCTTCTCAGCTTCCTCCCGAGCAATGCGCTCCTCTTCCTCCTTGCGTGCACGTTCTTCTTCCTCTTTCTGTATCCGCTCCTCTTCTTCCTTCTTTAACCGCGCCTCCTCCTCTACTTTCTGTTTCCGCACACGCTCTTCCTCCTCTATCCTCTGCTTGCGCGCACGCTCCTCATCCTCCTTCTCTTTGCGCACACGCTCCTCCTCTGCAGCTTTCTTCCTCTCCTCTTCCTCGCGCACCTTCTTCTTCCTCTCTTCCTCCTCGCGTTTCACTCTCTCCTCGGCATCCTTCTTCTGACGCTCCTTCTCTTTCTCTTCAGCGAGTCGCCTCTCCTTCGCCTCTGGCGTCTCCATTCGGACCATCGACTTCCGCGCTGGCGAGCTGGGTACTGTAGGCGAAGGCGTCACGCCCTGCTTCTTGTAGCTTTCTAGGTTGACTTCCATCCCATTTGTAGTCGTAATCTTGACTGGATGCGTCTTCCGAGGGACGAACGCGCTTGCGCCCGAGTTCAAGCGGTTCATACCGGGTGCCGATGTGCTGGACGAGGGAGTAGGAGGAGGTGAAGAAACACTGCTCAGGCTGGCATTATGTGAATGAGGAGAAGGTGTCGTATGTGGGGGATGGGCGGTGTTGGGCATAGCGGGTGCCAGAGTCGGCGTTCCAGGTGTATGGAGAGGAGGGGGAACATTACGAGGGGACATGGGCATTCCGCCATGCTGAGGACCAGGTGGACCAGGTGCCTGTTGGTGTGGTGGTGGGACCATGTGCTGCGGAACATGCCAACCAGGAGAATACGGTATATAAGCCTCGGGAGGAGGCATGCCAGGATATTGCGGGGGATACTGCAACCTATATTAGTGAGTCGTGTCATCAGAGAATCTAATCAACGTACGTAGTACCCAGGCCATCCTGGCACTGGCACCTGAGGAGGCATCCCCGTGGGTTGTCCAAGATGAGGAGGTCCCATTCGTGGACTCGACATCCCGGCGGGAATCGCTCCTGGCCCAGCACCCGGCCCTCCCGGTGCTCCACCTGGCCGACCATTCACGCCATTAACCTGCCCATTGGGCATCTGTCGTGGAAATACCGGTGAGCGTGGCGGCGGCGCTCCAGACGTCGGCTGTGAACCATTTTGTGGTGGTCGCGGGCCACCTGAAGGGACAAAGGGATATGAATGCGCGCCCAACTGAGACGGCTGCGAGTGTGAGATCTGTGGTGATGACTGTGGCAAGGATGATGTTCTACTGGACGGCGAAGCAGACGACTGTGAGGCCGCACTAGTGGGCACAGGTGCACTACTTGGCACCTGAAAGAGCTTTTTGATGTCGAATTTTGATGGTGTAGAAGGAGTCACAGGAGGCTGTGACAATGGCGGGCCCGATGCCGCGCTAGTGGGTTTGCCATTGGCGGAAGCCGAGGTGGGTGTCGCTGGGACGGACCCAAATGTCTTCACGCCTTCGGACTTGATGATTGGAACAGCAGCGGGGGAGGAGGAGATAGGAGCGGTAATATCGTCTATCGATCCGAACGTCACCGACGACGCTGTAGGCGGGTGAGCGAGGATTCGTTGATAACAAAGAAACCGTATACCTGACTTCACAGCACTCGTGGGACTGCGTGCACCTGCAACACCATCTTTGAAAGAAACGCCTTGACCTAACGCACTGGGTCGTCTGGAGTGAGTCGGTTGCGGGGCGCCCTGATTTGGTGCGGGTGACTGGGAACGTGGTGAGGGTGCTGAAGAGTTGCTCTGCGGCGGTCCCTTTGCCCACGCTGACTTGGATGGTAGCTGGGTCGGTATCTTTGATGCAGAAGCCGTGGAGGATTTGCTCATTCTGCCATGCGATGAGCGGAGAGAAATGTAGTGAGGCAGTAAAACACGCACGAATTGTCGCGATTATGCGGAGATTTGATTGATATCTTTTTCGTTTTTCTTCGCGTGAAGGTCGGTCGTAAAAGATGACCTGCCTGCAGGCGAACGAATGGTCGCGAGTAGGATCGAAAAGTGCAAAGGAAATCGGACGCTGGTCGTGCAGCAATCCGGGGTGTCTGTCCTGGTGGAAGACTGAGGGCAACAGCTGGAGGGACACCGAGCCAAAAATCACCAAAGCGTCACGTGGGACCCCGGCCACCCCAGCCCCGCATGCGGGTCCGCCCTATTATGACATGTACATTACATCCCCCAGGCTCATCTCTCTCAGCAATGTCGGTCTATTGGTGGCCCATTCGTATGTATTTACAACGTATTCTCGCAGTTTGATTGGAATAATGCTGCAGCGCCCACGACTCGCTTGGTGGGAACTTGGGATACAGAGTGGCTGATGCGGAATATACAGAATATACCTCGAGGTATCGCACGGATAAGCTTGTGGACGCATATTAGGTACACACCCATGCATGTTCAACGTGGAAGTCGTTCCCCTCGGATTAGCGGATATCCAACGGAGATTAGAAGGCGACGTTGATGTCCGAGTCGTCTAACGGCAAGCCGGGTACACCCGACGACGAATGGTATTGAGTACTGTCCCATCCACTACTGAACGATGTATTATGATCAAACATAGTATGGGTCTTTCATTGACTGTCCCCCCTCTAGGTTCTTAAGAAATACCTTCAAAATAGTTCGATACTTGTTCCACGAAGATTCCATCGTGCCATTCCAGGGGATGCCGAAATCATGGTGGAAGTTTACTAGCAACATTCGTCTACGATTTATGTTATAACGGAACTACGTAATAGGATAGACTAGTTTATGAGTGTTCAGGCTATACGCGCGTCCTTTGTCACTTACTATGCCATCGTCTTATTGTATATCGGCGGCGAACTGTTGAGCCTATACATGGTGGATTAAAGCTAAAACACTGACTTAAACTTATTTCGTCCTACTCATAGATCACTACCGATGGTCACTGAACATTCAGGGCCTCACGATATCCTATCATACTTAAAATGGAAGTAAATGATGATAGAACCTGTGCAAAAGGTGTTACTATGCGATATCGAAATTTTCTCAACCAATACGCCAATACGTATGATACAGAAAAATTGCGAGCTCGTGTCTGCATATCTTTAATTCGTTCATGAAGCGTTTGCGCAGAGTTTAATCTGAGATTCCAAGCCCGCCGATCGCTCTATGACGTCAAGCGCTCGGTAGATTGGCCGCATTTTACGCTGCAGCAAGCAAGATTCCACTCGACGTACGCTGAGTCTGGATGCCTTTGAGGAATACTCATCAGGTCCTTACTCAAGTAATTTTTACAGCTGAGATATTGATATTGTCACTTCCCAAACATAGAAAAAGACACTCACTATTGAAACAACGATGAGAAATGGGTAGAGTTTCTCTTTTTTGTAAGACCAGCTCAGTGGTTTCTATCAATAAATGTCTCTGGTATTTGAATTCGCAGAGGTAGTTGACTCCGCGGATGCAGTCGAGGCAGACGTATCCAATCACAAACTTATCTAAGGCATTAGTTCTCAGTTTAGGGCATCGAGAGCAAACAAGAGACACGCTCTCTTACATCGTGCGCAGTGCGCACAGCAAAATATTAAAACTCTGATACTTGTGATAAAACTAGTAGACTGTGATCCTTTGTTTTGATAAATAATATGCATAGCTACTGTGGAGGAATGGTCACCGATAAGCAAAACGATTCAACATGCCAGGACAGCACCGGATTATTTCCGCACGCGAGCATCCATATACGCAGTTATGTCGGTGGAGCTGGCAGTGGGGAAGGGAAATATGAGGCGGACGAAAGAGTACAAACGTCCGTTGTACGTGCCAGAACTAGATGCAAACCGAGCGCACATAGTCAACACATGATGAGTTACGCTGAGCTCCTAGGCCGATCACTACATCAGTGTCACATCCCTTATAGTATACAAACATAAAACTCACCTTCAATGGCTGCGTACGTTGCTGCTAAGTAAAAGCTGAAGCGACGATAGTGGAGCATACCATCGAATCTCGATTAATCCTCGCCAGAGATGTCAAATGTGATCGCGAAAACACTTACATAGTAGCGGTGCACAGTGAATTTAAGTCTTTCCGGAGGTAGGAGGACGACTTGATTAATACTGCCAGACAGCGTCGAGACATCAACAGGTCAAAGATTGCCCGTCAAGCAGATAATCCTCGAGCGAGTGCGAAGATGAGGGTTGGGATCTTCAACTCATTGTCTACCTGCGTGACCACGGTCTTGCACAAGGTGGCAGTCACACTCCACCACAACAGTGCAGCATGATCATAACAAGAGAACCATACAGCTCTAGATCATCTAGCCTAGAGCATCCATTCAATCCTCAGAAAGTAACGGTTCTCGGATCAAAACCCGGAGGTATTGACTAGGTATTAGTGCTTGCCATCCGAGCGCTTGAGCGGGCATTCGTCGGAGGAGTAATACAGAAGACACAGCGAACGGCGCACGATATGCAGGCATGGTGCAAAGAACGAGATGGAAGGTTTGATCTGTGGTCGATTAGGGCACCAGCAGGTTAGGACAACCACAGTGTTGATGATTATATGAATCCAACTCATTATCGGATGCCCACGCTAGCCTTCTCTGGACCCTGACAATGTGCACTGACGCCTGCCAAAAAGTCTAAGGCCTGGGCTGCATGGACAAAAGGTCAACCACACAGAAGTTCTGGACCCCGTACGATTTGTCACCTGTAGACTAAATGGTACGTTAGCATGCTTGGCAGACATGTATGAGTAGGTAGATATGGAATCAGAGAGAAGATAACATCTTCACTTCCAAAGGAAGACGTGGTCATTCGAGAGCGTGGCGCTCCCGAGGGATAACACCGCCTCTCGTCGATTATGCAAAGCGATACTTCGAACTTTCATCACTATCTAGAGACGTCAAAGTCTTACATATATTGAATGTAGACTCACTAATTAGAGATCATCGTTTCGATGGGGCATCTTGCACGGCCTTGATTGACAATGTTAGAGGCAAATTGTGACCATATTGGATGGTGGCGCTCAACCGAATACAATGTAAAGCCCCTGGCACAGAACAGCATGTGGTGGGAACCGGTCAGCTTCAAGACCGACATTCGTGTTTCTAATTATTGATCTAAACGAGACCAAATCCTGCACTGTAATCCTGATTTGAACTTTGCCTCCGTGTGTCATAGGCAAATACGTGGATACAGGGTTTCAATCCATATCAGTCATCCCAATTGTCACAGAGCTGCATGATAAACAGGGTATCAAGATCATGTGTATGCGAGCAGTCCACTGCCATTCGTCGTCAAAAGTCATCCAGATCGTATAGTCATGAACGCCGAGAAACCTCGTTACCAAACGGCGGCAGCACCCGTCAAAAAGCATGCTCCCAAGCACGCTATCGAAAAGATGCTAACAGCAAGCGGAGTGGCCACCCACGCATAAGTAATGATGCCTATAACCCCAAGGATAAAGCCTATCACAGACATCCATACTGCAAGCGTGTGACAGCGCGCCAATAGTTCAATAGGAGGATTCATGATGGCGTCCGGGAGTTGTGAAGCAGCGGGCTTGACAGAGCCCTTAGAAGGAAGGCTCAGGAAATACAGCGGATGGACGCGTTTGACTGTGACGCGGGATATCACGGCGTTAGAGGCATCCAATAGCGGGTCTTCAGAGGACGATGGAGCATCCGGAACCGAGGACGTGGAAGGTCGCTTGCCATGCCCAGTAACAATCGCGTGGGGGACTTCAGGATCGCGGGTGCCGGTGAAGAAAGTCCGTACACCAGGAACTTTGCCACCCGCTATAACCTCTTCGTAGTCTGCATCGAGGAGCTGTAATCTGACGAGGACGAAGGAGGCAACAAACGCGAGAATGGCAGAGCAGACGTGGAATATGAGGGCACCAGCGAAACTGGCTGTTGTGAGCTTGTCCGTTGCGCTCCAGGGACTCGCAGGATCTCCTAGATGGGTGGCAGTACTCGCAAGCGAGAATAGCAGCGAGTCGATAGATGCAAAGAATGTGGCCTACGGAAGATTCGTCAGACAAAGCTCATCTCAAGGACCTCACTACTTACGATACCGCTGACGAGGGATAGCCGGTTTAGCCAGATGGAGACAACTTGAAGAATGGCTTGCCTCAACGCGCTGTCACTGGTGCCGCTCTGACCGGTTGCAGCCGCCGCAACTAGCAAACTACTCAGTCTTAAAGCGCTGAAGCGAATTTACAATCCAAACTTACGTTGTTGCTTCATATCCTGGGGGTTGTGGAGTTAGGGGCGCGATAAGAAGTGGACCGCGCTTCCGTAGCTGACCGCAGGATCCCTTTTATATGCCCCAACAGGAATGGAGAGCATATCAACAGCAGAATCCCAGGCTCCCGGATGCGATTAGCGAGGAAGTTTCAACATATCCAGATTGATTCACAATGCCATCGTCGACGTGAGAAACGCCTGCCACAATGCAGCTCGGTACTCTGTAAGAGAATCAGTCAAGTAAGTGTGAAATTGGCGCAGCAGAAGGGGGTGAGACGAGGGTAAAAGGCAACCCATCTTCGAGAACTTGAAAGGTCACACGGGAGCATATTGCGCGCCTAGACTGGGCTCGGCGCGGTTCATGGTGCCACAACCAGTTCGCTTTGGTTCGGTTAGAAATACCTTGCACTTGTGAAATTAAACTCATAATACAAAATGTACATAACCAGAGTTACATTAGATCTATACCGAGCACTAACTAGTAACTACTACTTGCTGCTCCAATAAACTCATCCAGTCCGCGGGTATGCGAACGGGTTAGCAGAATGAATTATGATCGGTCTCAAATCGGTGAAGGAATCAACATGAAACCGCCCATATCCAGAAGATCTACTAAATAGTACTTCAAGTGAACGAGTTCGCGGTTTCTGACTCTCACCACGCCACTAGCTTACCAGGTCCATACGTCTCTTGATCCCATATGGGGATGTCTGGCTTGGTGCCGGTCACAATATGCGGCTGCACCACCGCGCCGCTCCTCGAGCAATTGCCAACCAAACACTGCTCCGCTGGCCAATGATTCCTGAATAATTGACACAATATTTGCCACAAAGCCTTCGTTGAATGCTGCGGAAGTGCAGTCCCAGGATCTCCAGCGGAGATTTTCTTGAATTCATCGGCAAGAGCCTGAAGGAAGCCAGGTGCGACTCCGTTCTGCACGATATCGAGTACCGAGCGGCACAACTCAGAGACAACCTGCAACCCTAGCTCATATTAGCACGGAAGCGTCTTTGATGTGAATAAATGACCGATGTTTTGTAGTATATGTTGACGCATCTGTTAGTATTATACTTACCGGCATAGTGTGTGAAGAGGCAAGTTTCTCGCGCCTTTGCAATTGCTGACCGAAGATCAAAGGCGCGGTTGTAGAGGCCGCTTAGCTGGAAGAGATATACACAAGTACAAAAGTAAATAGCATGGGTATACTCGCGGTGTTCTCTACTTGTATAACAAGACTATGATATGAATGACCTTTAAGATGCTCGGCGGCAGTCGAGACAGTGAGAGGAGAAGATGCGAATCGTGGCCTGGGTATGCATACGATCATGCTCACCCCACAGCTCACAAATATCAACAGAGAGGGCTTCAAAACAAAACCATTTTCATGCACTCATTCCATGAGACTATCGTCAGGGTTTCGAACACACACGAGAAACTGCAGCTATTTCGGCCGGTGGTAAACATGATCTCAGGCCTTTCACTGACATACCCACAACATAATTTGAGCCCGAGAACTCAGCTGCAGGACTTAGAGTTGGGTTTCACTTTGATGGGAACTAGACATGTACCCGTAAGTGGGTCCCTACATTGTCAAATCTTAATTGTGATTATCAACCTCTCTTATATGCTCGCGGAATTTGGCCACATCAGCCACGTCCTTAGCCCTAGCATTCATGTTTCAGCAACAGTATACGTAGATTGCATGAGATTGACCACGCACTCCACTAGTCCTTTCGCTACTTGCTGTTCAGTGAGCTCTCGTAAATACGGCAGGAGTCGCCCGCAGTATTTCTCAGATTTCTTGTACTATCGGCAAATGCTTCAACAAGTGGCAAAATGTCTGCACAACAACTACTCACCTCCATCAGTTCATCGTTGGCGTCGGTATGAATTTTAGCCATTAGGGCGGGCACAAGGGGACTGTCAGCCAGGTCGCCAATCTTCTTGAGCACTGGATGTCTATTGAAAGATAAAGTCAGACCACGCGCACATATTTGAAGATGGAGCCGCATCCATTGGTGTCAAGTAACGAAAGAACATACACGCCGAAAACAACACCTTTGCTCCTCGGAAGCTTGCGAAAAGTCTGGTGATCGATCCGGAGGAAAAGATCCTTTGGATGCATGTCTTCTGGCATGGTGTTGGATATGATGTTGTCTGCACGACACGTACGTCAAATTAGTCAACGAAATCCGGGAAAGGAGAATAAGCCGTATAGATAGTGACACTGATGTGTCAATATGATCAGTGCTAGAGTGCCCACACATGTCAGAAAAGGATCACAGGGCACCCAAGCGCATTGACGCAACACCATTTAAAGGACCACTCACGCCAAAATAACTCCCGATCGTCAACAATCATCCAGCTCGATCTTTCAAACGGACGATCGGGGGAAAAACGTGCCATCGTGCGTTCAATGCTCATCATCATTTTTTTGATATTGGGCACCGGGGCATGTATCTCGTGGAGGGGCTGATTAATTTTCTCTGAGAGGAGATATGAACCTACGACACATGTGATAAGTAAGAGAGGTATCATGCCATACAACTGTGAGAGAGTAGTACCTGGAAAGACGATCAACCCACCGACAAGATAACTCTTCCCATCGTCTCGCTCGCGCGCCATCAGAAAATCGTCTTGCACTAGCCTTACGAAGCATCGGCACATCGACAAATCCAGACCACGACTGCATTGACTCACCTGGAGACGACGAGGAGCGCGTCTGTTCCCTTGAGCTCCTGGACGTTCTCAAAGCGCTCACCGGTTACCTTGTTAACAATCCCGACTGATTTGCCGTACCCGGATGGCTTCATCGGGGTCTTGGCGGGATCTACGGGGATGGATTGAAACAGAGTAGGAAATCGTTTCGGAAGGTAGTCTGCGAGGGTCTCGAGAAGTTCCGTACAAGCGTCGTCGTTCTCAGGCAATGAGTCAATGACAACCTTGCCTGAAGGCGGATTCAGCGGTCGATACAAGTGCAATAACAAAATTACGCATATATGCAGATACAAAGAGTACGATGGCGTTACCCCCAAAAGTCTGGAGATTTACGATCACTCACCCTGCTCTCGAATAACACGAGCTTTCTCGTCGAGATACCACACATACTCATTGTCAATCTCAATCCAGTCATTTATGTGCATAGGCTGGTGGGACATGGTCTGATAATTATCACATCAGCATTTGCTACAGCATTATGGACGAAAGGGCCGCGAGTGGAACGGAAGAAAATCGCACCTGGAAGTAAGGATATCGCAATGTTTTGTTCACATACACATAGTCCCGGACACTCGCACTCTTTAAATCGAAACCGACCAAAGGATCAGGATCTGGCAGATATCCCGGACCCGTTGCCTCCCAAGCACCTCCCTCCAGCTTGCCCGATCCATACCGTAAGGGCTTGGGCTCGTTGTCCGATAAGTCGCGTACAACGCTCACTGCTGCCAGATTGTTCGTCCCTATAGATGGCGCGAATGCACGATTTCGGCGCAAGTGGAGAGACACGGCCACCATCAGACCGACGATCATGAATGCGAGAATGTCGTCATATCCAAACGTTATCACGAGTTGTCCAAGACCGACGGTGAAGGTCATATCGACGAGGGCTGGTGTTCACAGCGGAGAGCCGGTATATGAGCTATTTTAAAAGAATCGGCGTACGTACATGATACACTCGTGATCAGACTTCGATCACCCTTGTGAGTTACAGATAAGAAAGGTGTGTTCTCGCGCTGTCAATATTGAAGATATGACATAATCAGCAAGCCCCTCGACTAGTGTTTGGCATAACTCCTTGATCATGAAGTGGATGGTAGCACGCCTCGTGTCTAATTTCAAGTAGAGTTGAAGTCCAGGATGATTGAGTTAGTACTTGTACAAACAATCTAAAACCGCAAATCTGATTCCGACCAAACCTCATCGTCAACCAGACAAAGTTCAAATTGATCAGAGTAAACTAAAGGAAACCGTGTCGGCATTGGCAGCAATGAATTGACGAGATCAGCAAAATTCGATCCTTCATCCTGGTGTCACGGTCAGGCCAAATATGCACATGGCCACTGGAAACGCAGCGAGCAAAATGAATACTCACCATCAGACCAATCCAATCCTACCCACACTATTCATGCAGAACTTTGATCTCGTTGTCTTCTGCCCTGTTTCTGTCAGGGAAAACTTCAATAGATCTGTGCACATCCCGGTCAAATCCCGAAATACCTAATCAGAATAATATCAATGGGGCGTCATCGAGGATAGACCGATCGTCCATGCTTTCTCGCGTCAAAGGCGCGCTATATTACTCGGGTTCTTGGGTATCTGTGGAGGGATTTAAATTTCAGTATAAGGCCGAGCAGGTGAGCGCCAACATGGAGTGCGCTATTTTCCGTCTTAGGGCATTACAGCGCATAGCACTACATTCTCACGAGTGTCTTCACGTCTGAGCACGGTGTCCGATTCAATTCCGGTTGTCTAGCAATTCTGTACGACTTTTAAAAGTGCCTCAATGACTTCTCTAACGGGGTGCTGCACCTGTACTATCATATCGACGATTCCTAGAGACAGAAATATTTTTCCAATGGATTTTGCTATTCTCGATCTGTCCCTCATCGTAACTACCAACAACTCACACTCACAGGATTCTCAGCTCAGAAGCAGGATGCGCATCGTAGACGGGGATTGCAGTTGCATTGCTGCTAGTAAATTTCAAAGCCTCTGCGATGCCGCTCACTTAGTGCGACCCACTCCAGGTCATGACATGTATCTAAACGCAAAGTAAGTCATTCCACCATCGAAGCGGTTGACTCGACATTACCAAGACATCCATTCAATACCACTGAGATAAAGGGTATGCCGATCGTATTAAGACCGGTACTGCACAGATGAGATTTGTGGATCGAGACAGCCATACAAAATCAGTGCATATAATGTATCAACTGAGAGCGATAGCATACTGACGCACTCTTCTAGAATATCAATACCCAGTCACTTGCTTTAGGACCGCCACTCATATCTCAATGCAAACTGTTCTTGCCAATGACTGCACTCGCCCAAAAATCTCCTTGATACTGTGTATGGTGCTGCGATACGTCACGCCTTGGGATTCCAACCTTCAATTATTTCCCTGGTCGGGGTTGATTATCAATTATACGGACCTGGGGCGATAGTACCAACTCAGGATGGCGGAGCAAGAAAAGTGGGGGTAAATAAGAAAGAAAGCTGCACAAGCTCAGTGTCGGATGGAGGCTCACCGTACACTAATGGCATGCCATGCAGTGTCCACGTTTTCGGCACATGTGTGAATTTTTTTGTTGTAGCATATACGGTACGGGCCTCGATTGCCTCGAGAGTCGCAAATGATCTATACAAGCTCAAGGCGGACGTCCCCCGAGCCACCAAATACTTTGGCTTCGTCGGAGTACTTGCTCAATTTGTTGGTCAACAGTTAGTATGCCGATGTTCTGTATGGTGCGAGAATCAGCGATAGGCTATGGTTAATATATGGCGGCTCTTACTCGTCTCTATGAAATGCTCTGGGATACTATGCTTTTGATTCGGGTAAGCGGCTGCCAAGCCTTGGAGGATGTACCTTATCATACTGCCCAGGCACACGCAAGACTGTACATGTGTGCCGGTGCGCGACGCGCGATGCGCATGATCAGCGGGACGAGTTCTGCTCCTGTGCATCTAGCCTATTGTCTACCCGCAAGCGCACGTTCCGTTTTCAGCAGGTCACCATAAATGACAGGATCGTAAACCGATGGCAGCGCGACGGGAGATGGTCACCGGATCCCGAGGGCTAACATGTTCCGGTGATCAAACGACAACCTTGAACGTTGAAAGTTATCATATCGGGTGGTGGAGGGCGCTGCAGATACCAAAGCAGTTGTCTATGGGGCGGACTGGAGGTGGAGGAGCAGACCCTTAGCCAAAACTGGAACGTATGCACATCAAATTGTGCGATACTAAACATCGGAAACAGGTTGACTTCATACCATTCCAAGAAATATGGCAAATGGAGAGCCAATGCGTTTAGCACATGCGAAATTTGGGGGCATACGGTCCTAATCATATTTGACGACCGTTCTACTACACATAAAAGTGTCCAAATCGTAATCGTGACCCTCCGGATGAGTACGCACACCCAGGGCGGCGGACTCTGGGGAAGTTCGCACAGAGTAGGGAATGGACGATGAGACAAGATAAGCCGACCTGAATGCGAAGTCTGCTAGCGTATCCTTACAGTCGATGAACACGGCTCACGTTGTTCGCAAGATGCTGAATCGAGAGACTCGACCCTGCGCCCGTCAAGGCCTCCTCGGCACCACTCGGAACCCACAAACGCCACGGCCGTGTTCATTCGAGTCCCCGGCTACGGAGAGAAAGAGAGAAAGAGAGAAAGAAGGGTCGCAGCGGTGGGATGTGCAGTTGAGACTTGGTGAGACAGAGACGTCGTAGGCGGCGGGGGACGGCGCAAGCGGCGTGGGATGAAGGCGTACGTAAGCAGGACCTGTTTCACAGCGCGGGCAGCCTTTGGCTTGGCACGCCCAATATCCTCAGATGCGCCCGCCGATGGTCTCCTCTCTCCTCTCGTGTGCTCTTCCTCCTCCCACTCTCCGACGACTGTCCAAACGCGTCCTCTCCCCGTCCTCCCCGTCCGTGCCCCCATCATTCGACACCGGCTGCTGTCTCGACCCTCGTCACCGTCGTGCTAGGCATCAGCCAAGACCCTAGGCATTTGTCCTCCAAAAGCCGGCGACCGGCCTTTGCGAGCGTTCCCCCTGTCGAAGTAGCTCCCCTGTAGGTTGTCTTTAGCCCACTGCCATGCTTCGACATCCGGCCCTGCTTCTCGGTCTCCTGAGCATCGCTGTGGCTCAGAACAGCTCGAATACATCCTCGGATGGGTGCGTCGTCGTTTTCTATCCGTCTTGGGTCGCATGTCCTCATTTTCGCCCCGGAGCAGTTTCCCAAATGACCCCATCCTCGATTACCGCCCGGTGCTCGCGCGGTCACTGCCCATCCAGCTACTCTTGAACGGGATCGTGCTCACCCTGACGGCCGTCCTTCTCCTCCAACTGCTGTTTACCGCCCAGTACCACTTCCGGCTTGCGCCTATCAACTTTTCCCTGCAGATCTCCGCAGTGTGCACCCTCCTGGTCAGCTCCATCTCGACCGTCCACGTCGTAATGGAAGCGCTCTCGGAGGAGAGCTCGACGTGGCCGTACATGCTCAATTATGTCGCGGTCGACATCCCTCCAGACGCATCGTCCGGCTGGACGATGGGGCAGCTTGGAGCGTGGCTGCTCATGACGGCGACGACGGGAATGCTTATCCAGGTGCGTGTTCTTGGCGCATGGAAGTTTCGTAATCATGTGTTCTGCCAAGAGCGGGCATTCGCTTCGAGCAACACCGGCCATTTTAGATCCGTTCCAGGATGTTTGCGTCGAGCTTGAGTGGTATAGAATACCTACTCCTATACCGGGTAGCAGGCGTGCCTTCTGCTTGAGGCACATGGAGTCGGAGTACTGATCAGTGCGCCGTGCTCAGACCAGAAATCGTTCGGGCTGGTCGTTGGTGGATGGCGGTCCATCGCCACTGTGGTGGGAGCAGACAGAGTCTTACGTTATATGCGGGCCTGTTGACCAACCAGTTCGCGAATGCGCCCCTGCGACCTCTCAGCTCACGCTTTTCGATGCTGGTCTATCCTCATGAAGTTAGGCTATAGCAAGCCGCATCAGCTGCTCATGGACGTCCGTTGTGATTGCTGATAGTGTGTATGCCCAGCTGGAGTTGCGGCGCGGGTATCTGCACCGCCGTGATATGAAGCCTACCGGTTCGAGGAGTTGACTCAACCTGCGGGGTGATCGTTCGTGCACATGGTGTGCACGGGGTGTGCACGGGCGCGTGAGCCAATGGTTCTGATCTGCATGTGGATGTTTCGCGATGATTTTTCTGCACTCTTATCATGGCTAGCGCGGATTCTAACTCAGGTTTATTCCCAGATCACGCATATCCAATTTTTGACGCTACTGTTCCCGTCAAAGCTGGAGAAGCGGCTCATCATCGTGCTGCTGGGGCCGCTGGCGGTGGTGTCGGCGGTGATGCAGATGCTGCGCGTCGTGAAGGACGCACAGCGAGCGGTGGTGGCGGTGCAGAACGTGTGCAACGCGACGCTGTCGCTGCTGTTCACCGCGGCGCTGTTCGTGTGGGGCTTGCTGGTGAACCGGAAGAACGCCTGGCGGACGGACGGCGGGACGGCGTCGTTTGGAGTGGGTGCGCTGACGCTGGCGCCACTGTCGACGGCGATCTCGCTGCTGTCCGTGCCGCTGAAGGACGAGTTCACGTGGATGAAGCCTCTGATGTGGTCCGTGATCCTCTGGCAGAGCTTCCTCGGCTGGTGGTGGTGGGTCGGGGCGGGGATGGGCGTGGGGGATCTGGAGGAGCTACTGAGTCGGACGGAGAAGCGGCAGAATGGGCGGAAGCGCCGGTCGGCGCGGCGGCGTGGGCAGCGAGAGCGGGCGGAGACGATCTGGAAGGGCGTCACGGACGCGTTTGGGTTCGGGCGGGGGGATGCACACGAGACACAGGACGAGACACGGACCTCGAGCTCGGCGGCATCGGCATCAGCGTTGACATCGACGCGGGGAGTGTGGCGGCGGCCGTATGCGTGGTTCGCGTTCCTGCGAAGGGAGCACCTCGCGGCGACACGAGAGCAGGCGGTGGAGTGGGTGGAGCGGGTGAACGAGGTGTATGGGCGGGAGGAAGGCCAAGGGCGCGGCTCGCGTGGGTGGGGCCTCGGGCAATATGCGATCCGGCGGGTGGAGGAGGCGGCGGATAACGAGACGGTCGTCGGGGACGAGGATGTGGACGTTGTCGACGACGACGAGGGTGTGGATCAGGTTGAGCGGGGCGAGGATGGACGTAGGAAGGGCGGAGATGCGGAGATGGACGGGGACGAGGGCAAACGTAGGATGCGGAGACGGAATCGGCGGCGAGACGACGACAATGCTGGCGAGGCACCTGCCGCACAACCTCCAGAAGCATCCCCTTCGTCGATGTGGTGGTGGGGGCCGTTACGGAGATGGAGGTTACACGACGTAACTGAGTATTAAGGGAGATGCTAGAACGAGTGCGTCTGGATGCTGTCGCCCCCAGTTGATACATTATATCCGCTGATTTTGTATGCCTATGTTACGATACACCAATCTTGTCTCAGTCTGTACAGTACCGATTATCACGCAGTCGTCATACCCTTTGTCCCGTACCTATGTAATGGCATCGGATGGATGTCTTGTTAATCTATTGGCTTCTATGGTGGAGTGGCCGCTCACTTTGTGCACTCTGCTGCACGTAAGGCCAAGGTCAACCACTGCATGAGAATCGCGTGTCGCGCCCCGCTGCATGTCATTCGCGCGTGCCTAGAACTGGATTCATGCTAGTGAGACAGGGGAGATGTTAAAACAGGACAAGATCTGTCGGAAACATGCATCGAGTATGGACGTGGAGGGTAAGTCAAGCTGCATACGAGATGCGAACATTGAGAAGCTTCACTCGAGTGATTTAGCCGGGATATACACGGATCTATTGAAATAGTGGACAGTGGTTCTACTGATACAAACCGGAGAAATGAACAAAATAGCGAGCTTACACTAGTACAAATCCAGGGTACACAGGATGAAGCGATGGATCTAGTGATATAACGATGATAACAGACGACAGAAAGCCAACTCGAAACGAATGGTGATGAGCTACCGAGGCTTCCGACCATGTGCTTATCCCCGCACTTGGCGTAGGATTGCAACGATGAGCGAAAGATGGGGCTCGTTGGGAGAGTTGACTAAGAGGATAGCGCAGGAAATGAGAGCGGGCGAGGAAGCAACAACAGGAACCCAAAGAAATAACGAGAGAGTGAAGAGTTCGAGTAATGACTGAACTCCAAAGCATGCAGTAGAGTGTAGAGAGCGAGCGGGACCAAAGAGCGACTATCCAAGACGATACGAAGGCAACAGAAGCTGCCTATATGCGCGGAGGCAGATGTTTTGAACGGCATTCTAGAGCAATGGACTATAAATCACGGTCAAAATATTGCTGATGACTTGGCCAGCTTCTGTACTCACGATTTAAATCGATCTCTCCACCCATGAAGCCGATGTGGCGCTATCTTCCGTGGCGTCCGTACTCGGGGCCTCAACTTCAACGATGTCGACTGGTTCCGTAGTGGGCTATATGGATATGCAAATGAGGACCCATATTCAGTAAGTGGGCATTATGTTACTTACCAAACCAGTGGAGGATTCGTCTGTGATGTCCGAGATGATGTCGATCAAGTCGGCGATCTCGTCCGCGACACTGGTGGTCTCCGATGTGGGCTCAGAGGATTCAGCGCTTGATACTGGCGCTGAGGCAGATGATGACTCTGTGTTCTGTCGTATAGCATGAGGATTCCCTTCGAAAAATAAAATGCTGGGATACTTACCGGCTCTTCTATCAAGCAGCCCAGGATCCTGCAGTTCCGCCCGTCCAGAGCCCTGAGCTGGACCGATGAACCAATCGGCGCGGCATAGGCGACGGGGAAGGCTATGTGCAAGATTCATGAGCGACTGGTATAATGTAAGTGTAGTCATACGTACCACCGAAAACCAGAGCCGAGATAGCGAATGCGCGAGTAAGGATGAATGTAGCGACCATTGTGAATGTTGAAATGGGTGGAGATGAGGCGCTGTAAGCTCGAGGCTACTGAGTGTGAGGAAAACAGGCGAGGTGTCGCTGGTGTTGGCTTTAGCACTCGAGTGGCAACCGACTCTTATACTGCTGTCGTTAAGAAGCCATCATTACCTTGACCCTCCCCGCCGGCAATGGGTACCAGCAAGCCGATGGGCCGAATAGGTTTGTGCCTGGCTTCGGAATGTCATAGAGATTCAAGCTAGTGACCCAAAACGGTGAGTCGTTAGTGGGAGAGTCGACTCGAAAGAGAATGTTCGTTTGAGTAACGTGTGAAGGAAAAGGGTGTACCACAACGGTTGCCTTTTTGGGCGGCGAAACGCGCTTGCGCCACATCCCAAAGCGGGCCACACCTTTGTCGGGGCTCAGTGCCACCAGCAAGTCCGTCAAGCTATCAAATTGCTTCAAATGCCTACCTCTGCCGCGTGGGTTTGGATTATGTACAGAAATCTTGCTTCCTTTCGTCTGTCTCATCCCATCAGATGCCCGGGTCCTCCGGGCTATGGCGCCACGGTGATATCGGCGGCCAACTCGTGGGCGACATGAACTTCGCACCCATGCCACCGTTGCCAGCAGCATTTCAAGATTTTCAAGTCTCAGGTGAGAGAAGAACCCAATACTTCCATCTTTAACAAAGTGTTCATCGTTCTCATGAGACCTACTGCAAGGCCAAACTTATGTCAAGATTTTTGACGGCAGGGTATAACTCGGCCGATGAAAGGTGCGTTAGCTGGTTCTGGAATCCGGGAATTTTCAGGCGACGTCGACGTTTCAATTTTATGAACGGCTCTCTGCTCGCAGGGACTAAATTATTTATGGACCAAGTGACATCTGGATATGGTAATCTGAAGGTGGTTTCCTAAACGGTCCATTAGTTTGTTCTCGTCCTTACAGGTAAATTTGGCCCATGTTAGTGCCTTGGTCCATACTAGTGCCACATAGGCCCCTTTTCCGGTGTAATTTTGACTCTATGACTTGCATCGAGAGTAACTCATCGGTTTACTCTTTGCATGGTTGTTCAACATTTGGAATATATAGGATATATAAGCTACGCTCAATTATTCGTCTATGGGCGGCTTGCTCGCTGCGCTATATGTTCTCTCATGATGGTTGTCTTGAAACTTTAGAATCAAATTGATCCACGGTGCTATTTGTATCTTGACGACAAACAGGAAAAATTCATCTCTGGATTGGCCCGGTGTTATGCTCGGGATCCCCAATCAAGTGGCCTCATGCGGAGGATGTATCCTTCCTCAAAATCATGGATGAAGACCGTGTCGACGTGTATCCCACTGCTGCTGGTTCATGGCTGTGTTCACGCATAAGAGACCAGTCAAGCACAGGATTAGGTCACATAGCTTTCGTGGCAAACAATTTAATTCTGCGCTTACTCTTCAACAAGCCTCATAACCTCTAGCGCAAGTATGAACATCAACGCGTAACTGCCTTCATTATAGCCCTTCCAACGAAGATGTAGGATCAAGGTTGAACTCTCCTACCAATAGTATCGACGAACACTATACGAAGCTGGAAATGGGCTTCCGGTACGCTCGCAGCCATAACAGGCCCTTGTTGTACTTGAGAAGCAGGCAACAGTGTTGCCTCCCTACTCTGGGAATGCATGGCGTGGAAACGCCCACGTTCAATATTCTGACAGCTCGTGGAACGATGGGCTTGGACTAGAACGCGGCTGTGTGGGTGAACACGTTGCCTTGTTTCCACATTGACGCCTCGCTGATTCCATATCCGTGATCACTGCATGAAAACAGATAAGTCTCTTTGCTCGTGTTTTACCCCCCAGATTACGAGCTTGCAACACCAGACGAATGATACGACCCGTATCGCAGATGCGCTCTCTATGACAGACCTTGCAATCACTCTTGCCAACTTCCCACAAACCTTGGTCCTCTGAGGCTACTCGCACTATCAGATGCGATGCGGTCACATTAGCACCCTCTTCGCTTGAAGTTGACGAGATAGAGTCCTCTATGACCACCCTATGACGCATACATTGGTTCCGAATAGTTCCTCGGGTTGCTCCACCATCGAGTCGACCGAGAAACAGCAGAATTTGTCTGGGTCAACGTTCAGGTAAGTAATATTCTTGCATATTGCAAGTTATTCGGTCGACCTCGCGATATCAGCGCCAGCTTTCGCTCAGCTGGTCAATTCGGGCCCAACTGAAATTTGCTCTTGCCGTCGAAGCTGTACAATGACACATATCTCCGCCATGTGTCTCCCCCCGTCTCGTTCAACGATGCCGGGCTATAGATACCGACGGGCAATCATGCAGAAGTCTGGCCATGTCCATGTCCGCGTGTCAGGTGGCTCCACTTGGTTTGTCCCGGTATTCAGTTCCTGGCCCTCTTGCCGTTCACCCCGTTGACGCAACGAGCTCAGGTGCAATCCTCGCGACATCAGCACCACCAGCGACGGCAACGCTATGGTCGCGTTTGGGCGCATGTAACTTATTTCTGCTTCCGCTTCCCTCCAGCGTCTATAGCGGCACTCCGAGCTCGCTTACCTGGATTCGCATTGGAAGCCTGATTTTGTACAAGAAATATCCTATTGATTTTCTTATTCTAGAGATGCATTTGAGCCACTGAATGGTCGTTGGGTTTCCGGGCCTACATATGGGACTCAGTCTCAGTCTTTCAGAGTCAGAAGCCCGTCATATGTCAGGTACGTCTATGATCTCATGTTGTCCAAATTTAGCAACGCATCGTCGTGCGGTTTACGACCGCTGAGCTGGGTTTTAACTTTCATGTGCTTCCCTTCGCAAATGAGCCAATCAGGGAACTGTATGGTTACTCCGATCAAAGCCGCCGAACTTAGGCTAAATAAAGCTCATCACGTGTGCAATGATGGACCAATCAGCGCAGAGAATCCCTGCCTATGAACCGGATGGTTCCAGTGGTTTGAGCGGAGATACAAAATGGCGGTGGGCGAAGGCAAAGTCCTCTTTGACGGCAACTTGTCTTCTGCAGTTTATTACCTTGCCTCGCCCTCTCCGGCACTCGTCACTCTTTTGCCCCAGGCTTCGCCTCCCCTCCCCCTCTTAACCCACCCCGTCGTTTCACTTGAGCTCTTCTCGTCAAAAGATGCACGCTTTCTCGTTTGCTCTTACTGCTGTAAGTGTTCCAAATTTCCTTGACGACGGTACCGAATACTAATGAGATATTCGCTTTCTTCTTTATGGTCTCCCTCGTCAACCTCCTCTCCTCTCAAAACGCGTCTCATAGCTCGCGGCGACAACTGCGGCATTTGCGCAGACCACTACTACCACGTCTGCTGCAGCCGGCCAGACCTATGTCATCACCGTCGGGCATAACACGACGTCGAACGCTAGCCTGGTCTTCCAACCTCAAGAGGTTCATGCTGAGCTAGGAGATACCGTGTTGTTCAACTGTCAGTTTTTTTTCCCCCTGAATTCTCGTAAAGCAAACTTCTTGTCTAATCAACGTCTTTCCTTTGTGTCTTATCACTGCTCTAGTCACCGATGGTAATCACACAGCGATACAGTCTACTTTCTCCGAACCTTGTATACCTGCGCATCAGACCAACATTACAATCAACGGCTTCGACTCTGGCTTCCGAGATGCTGGGAATGGGACTGCTATTACGATCCTCTCAGTGCCGATTCTTGCTGAGAACGTGAACACGACGATGTGGTTCTTCGACTGGAACACATGCGCTGAGGGTGGTGTTGGTGTCATCAATGCTAACGATAGCTCTACTGAAACGTTGGCTGGTTTCGAGGTAAGATTCCCCGGTTGTACGAGACATCGTGCACAGAGTGATGCCTGTGTTTTAACAGCGTAATGCCCTCCGCTTGAACGGTACTGGCTATGCTACCTCAACGTCTGCTTCCGCAACATCGACCCCTTCTAGTGGTGGCGCGAACGGCGGCGGTTCATCTGCATCCCCCTCGACCACATCGACCACATCTTCAGCTGGACGTAATGCAGCCCTTGGTGGCCTTGCTGTTGCTCCTTTACTCCTCGCTGCCTTCTCGCTTTGATAGTTGGAACGTCCTCGCATCGAAGATTCGCTGTCTCTGCTTTCTTCATCCTTTGCTGAGTGTATATACCCGTTGCCCCAAGTTATGCACGCTGTGGTTCATTGCAGGAGATTAGGCGAGAGGAGGCTGGTGGTTGCTTGGATGCGGTACGCAAACGTGTTTTGCTGGTTGGGTATCGTTGCTTGGTAACTGGATGCTCGGGCTAACAATCGTCGATTATTCATGATCGGTCCCTCACAATAGTAGTATTCACTCTACTCGCACTCATTTTCCCGTATCTATCCTATATGTCCTGTTTTCATTTCACATCCCTGCTCAAGATGCTCGTGTCGTTTGTGGTTATGTCTTATACCTTGTTGTCCTTATTTTCCTAGAGGCTGGGTCTTGTTGTCTTTGTGGTACTCTGCTTCCCTCCTGATGGATCGATGCGAATGGATACATGGTACTTTTTATCGGTTATACGGGCTTTGTTGATACTTGTCTCACTGGTCAAGTCAAGGCTTTGGTAGCATCGGTGTTGAAGGATCGCGACATGGCGGCAATGCTTCCCGTGAGTGACCTGACTCATCCCTGATGATGCTTTTTTTATGGATAGAAGTGAGGCCATTGGTTGGGATCCTGGTTTACTTTCGGGATAATACGAGCATGAGTAGGATTGGATTGGTCTGATATAGTCTCCTGGGTAGCCCTCAAGAATGACTTTTGGAGTGTAATGCGGACGGCTGTTCTATGGATCTGCCTCAAATCGCGACTCAGTTCACGGGCCCTCCGTCGGAGCTGGAGGATACCGGTGGCTATGGATTATACACAAAGTCAGGCTATGTTCTGCTGGGTTGCTACGCGCATTTCGTTTCTGAAGTCTTACTGCATAAGATCTAGTCAGACTGTCAGTGACTGCGAGGTCATCAATGCTGTCGAGGGATTTAGGTGTGCCTTCAATTTGATAGTCGTAATAATCGTAAGGGCGTTAGTACCAACGCTCAGCGAGTCGGGACTCCCGGGAAACTTGGGATGTCTGGTAAGGAGGTCGATAAACTTGATTGGAGAAGCCATTGAGGCACTATTGAAAGTTGGAGAGGGTTGTTAGAACACGGATACGAATTTGTGTCCCGTGAGAATATATGCGCTGTAATACCCTAATATAGAAAATAGCGCCCTCCAGGCTGGCGCTTACCTACCTCAGACTGAAACCCAAGAACTCTGCCAAGCCTGAATATCACATATCGATCCGGGTAAAAAGATGACCATAGCGCACACCTGGTGCGGACAAGCATGAACGAACGGTTTGTTCTCGAGGTTGAACGACGCCCCATTACTCCGATTGGGCATTTCGGAATTTGACCGGCCGCGGGACGTGCACGGATCTATTGAAGTTCCCCTGGCAGAAACAGGGAGAAGACAGCGAGATTCAAGATTCTGCACAAATAGTATACAAGCCGACGAGGCTAGCGATGGAATAATGAATGGCCGCCATGTCGTATGTTATATTCCAAAGGCCAGCAGGCTAAAGTAAAAAAAACAATTCGCGAAAAAGATGACCCTCGTCAGGCCAGTCAGGTAAGCTCATCATGGTAATCAGCGAAGTTTCGTGCTTTTTTTCATTTCAGATAGGCATTGTTCACCAAGCCAAGACCACTTGGCTCACGGATCGCATGCCAGCATTTAAAATTAGCACGTTCTACTAGTACTGTCTGCAAGCTGCAAATGCAGTCGGTTAGCTCGCTTGAAACATATTTTGTTTGGTATAATCTTCACGATGGCGAGTGCATAAGTGGTTTTGAGTCTACAGTCGGTGGGAGGCCGACGGCGGGCGGCGGGCGCACCGACGCGGCGCTCAACGTCATCGCCGAGCCTGTGCCCAGCGATCGCGGACGAGGATAGTTTCCCGATATGGTCTGCGGCTTGCCAGATATGCATCGTTCTCCACGTTCGCCATGTCTCTGTGACATGTCCTCTGAACGAGTATAAATACCTGGGCCATTCGACTTGCAAGAGGAGTCCTCCCTCCCCACCATCTTCATCTCAACTGTCCGCCCCCGCGCGCTACTCGCCTTGCTCTTTCAAAATGCGTGCACCTGTCGGTAAACCAGCTGCCATTCCTATTCAACGCTTCCAGTCGCAGCACCTGCGGTTTTGAATGGGTTTGGGCACCGTACTACCGCTTATAGTGCGGGGTGCTATTATTGTCGGTTTACTCCATTAATTTTGGATATAAATAGCCATGGCAGTCGCCGGAGGGCGGTTAAGTCGAGGTGTCTCTTCTCCATGCACAAAGGAGGCAAAGGACGTTGCCCTCGACGCTGATCCACTCCCATGCACCGTCGCGCTCTGCTCTTCCTCGCCCTCTTCTGCCTACTGTCATGTGTACTCGCGAAAACAATCCCTGTGGACTACACAACATATCTGAATGGAACCAACGGCACCAACGATAGGTGTGTTTATCCCATCCCCAGTCCGCAGATTGCAGCTCTCAGATATCTCGCAGCTACCCGTTTGATCCGATACTGCAATATCGTCCACCATTCCCTCGCTCGCTCCCCGTACAGATACTTTTGACCGGAATCGTCCTGACTCTCGCATCGGTGCTGCTGATCCAGTTACTTTTCACCGCGCAGTATCATTGGCCACTGGCACCAGTCAACTTTATTCTGCAAGTCGCCGCCGTTACGACGCTACTTGTAACCTCCATCGTCACAATATACATCGTGCTTACGACCGTAACTCAAGAGAGCCGAACATGGCCGTACATGCTCAACTACGTCGCAGTCGATATTCCCCCAAGCCCAAGTACCTCATGGCCGACCACAGATATGGCTGCCTGGCTGTTGCTAACCGCAACGACGGCCGGCCTTATCCAGGTACGGGAATTTGTCTCTAATTCCATATCTCCGTAGCTGATCGCGCGGACGGATAGATCACACATATCCAATTCCTCACGCTGTTGTTCCCCTCCAAGCTTGAAAGAAGACTGATTTTTGCCCTGCTCGGTCCCTTAGCCGTAACATCAGCCGTAATGCAGATGCTGCGAGTCCGCCACAGCGGTACCAAGTCGCTAGATATGATCAGCGCCGTTCAGAACGTGTGCAATGCGACACTGTCCCTGCTCTTCACCGCATCCTTGTTTCTGTGGGGGGTCCTCGTCAACAGGAAGAACGCCTGGCGCATGGACGGCGGGACAGCAGCGTTTGGGATTGGCGCGCTCACGCTGGCGCCTATGTCGTCGGCGATTGCGATTCTCTACATACCGACCAAGGAGCAGTACACGTGGATGCCCCAGCTGATGTGGTCGATCATCCTCTGGCAGAGTTTCCTCGGCTGGTGGTGGTGGGTCGGCGCTGGGATGGGCGTCGGAGAGGTGGACGATCTACTGAAGCGCGAAGAGAAGCGCAAGAACAAGCGAGACATACGGTCCGCAAAGCGGCGCATGCAGCGTGAGCGCGCAGAATCGTTGTGGAGGGGGGTCACAGGCGCGTTCGGTTTTGGCAGCGGGCAGCGGGCGAATGCAGAGCGGTCTCCGAGCGCATCCTCCAGCCCCGCGTCGAGCCCCGAGCGTGTCCAGCGCCGGCCGAGCCTCAACAGCCTGTCGACCAGCGGCAGCTCGCTTACATGGATGGTGTTCAATTACCCACCCGGACGGCAGATTCATGGCTGGTTCCTCCACTGGCGGCACGCTCACCTAACTGCAGCGCGCGAGCAGGCCGTGGAGCGCGTCGAGCGCATGAATCATATGTACGGGAAGGACGGAGCGAACGCGACGCGCATGCGCGGCTCGTTTATGGGCTGGGGGCTGGATAACCTTGGCGTGCGGCCGGAGGTGCGTGACGATGCAACTGTCGTCGCGTCGGATTCAGATGTCGAGGAGAGCGATATCGCTAAGGGCAGCCGGGCAAAGACAAGACGGGGGGATAGCGTCATTGAGGTCGAGGGCAGCGCGCCTGCTGTCCGCAGACGGGGCCGGCGGCGGTGGGTGGGAGGAGACGCGCAAAACTCAAGACCACTACCGCGGG